TAAATACTGAGCCTAAGTAGCCTTCCCGGAGGGAAGGAGGGAGTCATAATGTGACCATTTTCTTCTGACCAGGAAGAGGCTTTGTCCCCATTTCATCTTGGAGGAAAGTAGAGCTCCGTGTCGTCTCAGCACCCCGGGACCCTTCCCACCTCCCCCATCTGCTCTGGCTTTCGCGCGTGGTGCGCTGCACTGAGAACACGGTCCTGGAGTCTGGGGCTCCCGGGCAGGCCAGGCTAGCTTGGGAGTCAGGACAGAGTGCTACGATGGACCAAGGCAGACAGCGAAAGTGATGGGAGAAAACAGCTCCACCGTGCCCCGTCCTGGACTATGCCCAGCGTCCCTCTGCGCGGCCCTCCCATTGTCTTTTAAGGTTGGCGTCACCCAGCTGGCACAGGCTATCCAGGCTGCAGTGTTCGGGCGCCCCCCGGCGGTAGCGCTCGGCAGCTAGTCTCCCGGAGGGTGTGCAGCGCCCTCTGCTGGCTGACGACCTTCCTTCTCTTCTCGCCTTGGGCCCGCATCATCAACTGGAGTCTCACCCACAGGCAGAGGGAAGAGGACACTTGGGCTGGCTGCTGAGTCTGCATTAATGCTGGGAAGCTATCATGAACAACAAAATACGTGGGTAGAGCGGCAGGTAGGGCCCAAGAAGAAGCCCTTTGCACATGCCTGTGGTTTGGGGGTGGGAGAGAGGTCTCAGGGAACATGGCTAGCCCTCGAGGATGGGGAGAGGTGCACAGAACAGAGGCAGACAGCAGGAAGGTTCCCTGGGAGGTAGAAACAGTCACCTTAGAGTCTTCTTAGTAGAAGAGAGCCAGGGGTGGATACTGAGCATCAGTGGAGGATGGGGGGCGGGGGGACACGCAGTAGTGTGTTGAAGGCACTACAGAATCGAAATGTGGATCTGTGACCCTCTGTACCCATGCTTAGCCGTCAGAGGCACCCATCAGGATGGAGGTGCTCTCACTGATCACTAGCTGGGTAGGTGAGAAGACCAGCATGCACTCTGTTCCTTCCCAGCATCCTGAATTGCAGAAATCTTGTCTACAGCATTCACATTGACCTTCACTCAATGTCGAGGCTACACTGGATGGTGGTGGTGAGTGACTTTAATCCCAGCGTTCTGGAGGCAGAGGCAGGCAAATCTCTGAGTTTAGGGCTAGCCTGGTCTACAAATCGAGTTCCATGACAGCCAGGTCTACTCAGAAAAGCAAAACAAACAAAACCAAGTCTAGGTCAACCAGAAGAAGCCAGCAGCCAGGGGGTCATGAGCTTTGCCCCTGGGCAGGTATCTCCCTCTGACAGGCCCATGGTGGAGCTTGGCCTAGAGACCCAGCTCACAGCTCACTGCTCAGGGCTTCCCCTTTGAGTCCAGCAGCTAGCAGTGGCCACCTCCTAACAGGACGGGCCCTGAGGGAGAAGGGCAGTCTCCAGGGTCCTCTAGACTGGCTCTCCCAGTAACCAGCGAGGACCTAAGGGCCCTGCACGCCCAATTGACAAGCTGGTTTATGTGTAGCCCCAGCTTTTGTGGCTCATGGCTACAGATAGCTTGAGTTGGGGTCTTCCATGCTCACGGAGGGACGTGCAGCTTGCATGGACTCTCAAGCAAAGCTCATGAAGTGACCTGGCAGAAGAGCCACTGGCTTCCCCAAGTGCCACCCACTGTCAGCCTTGAGCATGTTGCTTCCCTGAGGGTTCTCAGTCCCTCCTGCCGCTGCCCCCTCCCTCTTCATTTTCCTGGACATCAGAGAGATTCAGTAGTAAAAGCTGACCCAGGAGGCAGAAGACAGTTGTTCTTACTTCCTCTGGTTCTGGTGTCCCACCCTGCCCAGGAAGGGCCTAGTCACTTACTGGTAGGACAGATGTAATGGTGACATCTTCCCCTCCAAGCATCCTGCTCACTCAGGGTTAACTGGGACACCTATCACTTCCATGTCAGCCTGTTATGGACCTGACTGGACTCCATACAAGCAGGCTTTCTGCTCCAGCCTTCTGGTCTTTGTTCTGAGGCCAGGACAGAATGGATGGACAGTCACTCAAGACTGGATTCATTCCCTAAACTGTCAAAAACAAAAAACAAACAAACAACAACAACAACAAAAAAAAAACCAAGCTGGGCATATAGCTTGTCTAGCATGTTAGAAGCTCTGGGTTTGGTCCCTAGCCACGGACAGGACACGATGAAACATACTTGTATTCCTAGCACTTGGCAAGTGGAGGCAGGAAGATCAGAAGTCAAGGTCATCCTCAACTACAGTGAGTTTAAGGCCAGCCTGTACCACATGAGAACCTGTCTATAAATAATAAATTAATAAGATGTAAAGCAAGCCAAGCCTGCCACAGGGCTCCTGCTATGGACTTGAATGGAGTCCATGCAAGATTGCCCTCTGCTCCAGCTCCTGGGCGCACTGACCCCTGGGTGGGACTGAGGGGAGGGGAGGGGCCTAGGAGCCTGGGGCCGGCAGCCCTGCTGCTTCCTGTTCACCATGGGTACCTTCCATCCTGCCTACTACTGAGAGGAGTTCTCCTATTTTGAAGACCCCTCTCATCTCAGAGACCACGAGTAGGTCACCCAAGGTAGTACTCTCTGCTCCTGTGCCCAGAGTCCCTGATACCCAGCCTGGGTGCCGAGAATGGCAGATCAAAGTGTCACCTACCTCCTCTAAGTGACCTTCTTCCTGTCAGATAATCTCCTTTTGCTGGAGCTAGGATCCTCTCTTTGATCTGTTTTGTTTTGTTTTTCTGAGACAGGGTCTCACTTTGTCATGCTCGCTGTCCTGGATCTCACTCTGTAGCCGAGGCTGGCCTCGAACTCACAGAGACCTGCCTGCCTCTGCCTCCTGAGTACTGGGATTAAAGGTGTGCCCCACCACCACCCGGCCCTCTCTTTGACCTTAGGAGTCTGGGTCACTTTAGATCTGCTGTGTGCTGCTCTCTGGGCACACGGAGAGAAATAAGGTAGTCTTTCTTTCTCTTACTTACTTGTTTTGTTTTGCTTTGTTTCCTGAGAAGCAGGTTCACTATTGTAGACTTGGCTGCACTGGAACTCAGCATGTAGCCGAGGCTGTCCTCAAACTCATAGAGAGCCACCTGCGTCTGACTGGGATTAAAGGTGTGCTCCACCACATCTGGCTCTTCTTTTATTTTATTATTATTATTGATGGTGGTGGTGGTGGTGGTGGTGGTGGTAGTGCTGTGTGATCATCTGAGGTCAGAAGAGGGCATCACATCCCCTGGAGCTGGAGTTACAGGCAGCTGTGAGCTACTCAGCGTGGGTGCTGGGAACAGAGCTCTGGTCCTCTGCAAGAACAGCCAGTGTTCTTACCCCTGATCTCTCTCTTCAGCTGCAGATAGATGGTCTTTGCACAGTGGTGTCCAGCCCATTTGTCCTGAGAGTTTAGAATCCCTTTCCCACTATACATGCACCTGTGAGTCCTGCTTTCCTCCCCACAGCCTGCTCTGTGTTTCTCTCCTGCAGTGCAAAGACCTGACGATCTCATGGCTCCCAGGGAACATTTACATCCAGAGATCAAAAGTACCCAGTAGCTGTCAGGAAGACAAGTCCCTGCCTCTTTAGCCTATCTTAGGGGCTGGGGTCAAAGGGTCAAAGCCTGCTTAGATGAGTCAAAGGCCCAGGAAGTGCAGGAAAACTGGAGACTTTGTCCCAAAGTTGCCCTCAATTGGGAATGCGCAGCCATCTTACCAGGGTGAGCAGAGGAAGACCGGTGTCGGAAGAGGGCAGAGCCAGCCTTGGGCTCCAAGCCCAGGGATCTCTTTTAGGTTCCTAGGATCGCTTTGACAAAGTGCTGCCAACTGGAGGGAGGGGACACTGTTCCACAGGCCGGAGTCTAAGATTGTGGTGTCAGCGGGGTCGTCTCCGTCTGAGGCACCCCCTCGGCTTGTAGACGGCCACCTTCTTGCCACATCTCCACTCAGCCTTCCCTCCGAATGTGTGTTCACATAGCTCCTTCTTTAGAAGATGTGTTTACTTTCACTTTATGTGGATGAGTGTATTTGTTGCTTTCCTATTACAGCGATAAAACCCGACCAAAGGCAACTTCCAGACGGAAGGGTTTATTTAGGGTCTGCGGTTCCGGAGGGTCAGAGTCCCGTGCCGGGCGGAGCAGAGGTGGCAAGTGGCAGGCAGCTGCAGTAGCAGCTGGAGGGCTTCAACTACAAACAGGAAGCAGAGCGAGCCCTTGAAATGGCCTTGAGTCTTTGGAAACCTGGAAGCCTCCCCAAGTGACACACTTTCTCCAGCAGAGCCACACCTCCTAGTCCCCCCTCAAACAGTCACTAGCTATGGAAAGCATTCAAGCACCCGAGACTCACGTCGGACATCTTATTCATGGCGCCCCAGGGAGCATTTGCTAGTGTGGATGTCTGAGCACCACGTGCATGCAGGGCCCAAGAAGGCCAAAAGAGGCCATCAAATCCCCTGAAGCAGAAGTTACAGAGGGTGGTGAGCTGCCCTGTGGGTGCTGGGGCCTGAGCCCGGGTCCCAGCCCCCACAGGGTGCCTCACAACCGCCTTTAGCAAGCCCCTATCTCAAAAAATGTTGACATTTCAATTCATCACAGTAGGAAAATCACAGATATCAGGTAACAACAAATATAGTTTCATGGTTGCAGGTGGCCACAACACAAGGAACTGTTTAAAGGGCCGCAGCCTCAGGAAGGCTGAGAACCACTGCTCTAGAAAAACACAGTCCACTGTGATTAGGACTCCTTCATAGAACTAAGGGGAAACAATTCAACCTTGAAAATCTCCAACTCCAGGTTTCCACAGTCACTGGAGGTGTTCCATAAGAACAGTCTAGAGCATGTCTTTAATCCCAGCACTCGGGAAGCAGGGGAAGGCAGATCTCTGTGAGTTCCAGGCCAGCCTTGGCTACAGGGTGAGTTCCAGGACAGCCAGGGCTACACAGAGAAAAACCCTGTCTCAGAAAAGAAAAAAAAAAAAAAAAAAAAAACCGAAAAGAAAAAAAGAGAGTCTAGAACAGCTGTAATTTCAAATGAGTTAATTTATTAAGTATACAGGAAGCAAAAGTAAGAGAAATTAGCAAGTAGTTGATAACAGAACCCCGTCAAATCATAAACTGCTAGCATCTGGCAGACGTGCCTTGGGAAGTCTTCCTGAAACAGTCGTGTTGGAGTCCCTGACTGGCAGATTCCCGGATGAGCTTCTGGCTTTCGGTTCCCACTGTGGCCACTTTTATGGGATCAACAGTACAAACCAGAATTAGAAATAGTCTCTCCCTCTAGCCGGTCTCAGGAAGCACATGTTTTTAACCTCCTCAGCGACTTGCTCTTTTCTTTCTCCCTGTCACAGAGTTGGGGCAGGAGGTGCTGCTGCAGCTGTGTTTGTGGCCCTGGGGACCCCAGCTAACATCTGCCTGCTGCCAGGGTTGGGGTGCAGAAAGTCCCACCAGTGTAGGGTTGCCAGAAATAGCAAATACAAATGCAAGGTAGGGGCACTGGGTGGCACATGTGTGTCATTTCTGCTGTTCGGGAAGCTGAGGTGTGAGAGGATCCCCTGAGCCCAGGAGTTTAAGGCCAGCCTTGACAACATAACAGGACTTTGTCTTTTAAAGCAAATAAACAGGCTGGAGAAATGGCTCAAAGGTTAAGAGCACTGGCTGCTCTTCCA